AAAAAATCGTTATTTCGTTTTTAAAAGACGATTAACACATTAGGAATAAACTGAGTCTCAGGGGACTTCACAAACATATACGAGAAACGGGCACAAATAACACCCAGACTCAGAACAGCAATTTGTAGATCACACAAAGGGTTGTCGCCATAGAGATAATACAGATAGACGGGCGAAGGTATTGGATTACCTGTAAGTGGAATAGCGACATCGCGATCGGTATTTCTAAAGAAAGAAGACTATGACCACTTCGGGCCAACAAATCAGCAAAGGGTTGCGAGAGAGACGCATGTAAATCGCTGTCTTCTTTCTCTTTCCACCAACGTCCCGGATCGTGGCTAGCTTGTCTACCTACATATATTATCTCTATGGTTCGATCGCCACGTGGGACTTACACCACAACCCACGTGGGAACACTAACAGCGAGGTGACTGCCTTTTTTTCTTTTTTTTGTCCGTGCGGAAACCCCATCGGATACCACCGGTGGCATGTCGGACTCGAACCGACTAAAACCGCACGCCGTCTCAGGTACTAATAGCCGGGGAACCAGGGCGAGGTGACTGCCTAAACCACTACGCCATCAGTGAAGTCAATTGGTTTGTTCTTTTGTGCTATAGGAAAGGCAAATAGAATAATAAAACATGTCATATACGCTAAAATCTTTATTTATTAACAATAATATATACTCTACATGTAATTAAACTTTTACATAAACGACATTCGAGAACGCCGTTTTGACAGTTCAAACTGTCAGTGCTGTCAAATTTGTCAAATTGTTGGGAACAAGGTATTTCGGCAGAATGGTGTTAAATATTGATTCACACCCCAGTAATACGTATTTATTTATTTTTAAGAGTGTATGAGCGCGTTGAACTGAAAAAACACAGTATGACGTCACAAAGTCCACAGAGAATTTATGAAAGGTCTAATGTGACTGGAGTTTAGCCTTTTAAACTTAGATCATTGATATGTCTAGATAATGTTCGAGCTGTGCACGCATCGGAAAAAATAATGTCCAACAGTTGGCCACTAAATTGTTTTGTAGTAATAATAATAATTTTACACTTCTCATAAACGGCAATCTGTTCCAAAACTAGGCAGAGCCTGTACTATGGTACCCAGACTGCTGATAAACATACTTATATATTTCTAAATACATACATATTATAGATAAATTACACCTAGACAAACGATCGTGCTCATCACATAATTATTTGCCCTGAGTGGGAATTGAGACCACGACCTCCGTCTAGCAGTTAGGGTCACTAACCACTAGACAAACAGGCCCGTCAAAAGTCAGAAGTGCGAAAATATATCTAGACATTTAAATGATTTAAGTAATTTCATGTATTCAAAGTCGGAGAGTTATTAAATAAAGAAAATGGCAGCTAAATTATGTAACATTCAAAAAGTAGATTATGATTGTCATTATTTAGTAGAGCTGTGGACTCGAGGGCGGATCCATGGTGGGTTATGGAGTCATGATACTCTATAGGTTGGGTACAGATCGTACAATGATAGGTTATGAAATGAAAACTTGTCAGGGGACGTGACTACACAAAAAGGACCTCCCAGTTAACAGCTGGATCAACTCTTGCATGGCCTACTATAATATTAATACACACAATACGTTGACACAAATTGCTGTTTGCTGAAATACCAAGGAATGCTCAAAGATTCATCCAGATTCCCCAGGATACTTTATGTACAAGTTGAGACAGGCTGTATATTCCTTTATTTAATAGAACATTGAATTTATTCCTTTATAATAAAGATTTAATCTTATTTGCGTACAATTATTAACCACACACATTTTCATATGGAATTTTTTTGACATATGTTTTGTAAATATTTTCACCGTGTTGTACAAAAATAATTCAACACACAAACTAAAAAAACAATAATTTTCGACTCAGAATGGTCTGAAAACACTATTTCAGTTTTCGTTACACCGTCCCTTACACTCTGTATAACAGAAGGCAAATGTGGATACGAGTTGTCTGATGGTAAGCATTTACCGCCTTCCAATGACACCTGCCGCTCAAGAGACACAGATGCGTTGCTTTCCTGACCGCCTTCCAAAGTAAGGGGGAGCCAATAACCGTCAGGTTATATACTAAAAAACTTTGATTTTGAGGTTATATGTAATTATTTCTTCTTCATCACCAAGTGATCAGAAGAATGACGTAAGAAATGCACCCAAATGGTAAACAATTCACATCACATCACATCAACAGCCTTTAGTAGTCCAATGCTGGACATAAATCTCTCCTTAGGAAGGTGGTTTTGGCCTACTATACCATGCTGGCCAGACGGGTTGGTATAGGATTTGTGTCAAATTTTCTTTCTACCGCAGTGCTGTTGTCCTGCGTAGTTTGCTCCCTTAGTCGGCTCTTACGACACCCACGGGATGAATAGGGGTGGTGACACTCCGTATTCTTAATCCGTCACCACATGGACGGTAAACAATTAATAAACATTATTATATTGACCATTACGTGGATTGAATTGTTTCTGCACGGACAACGACGGTTTTTCAACACGGTTCATTTTAACGTTACAGAGTCCTGGCCGAGATAAAATTGCTTTGGTTTAAGTACAACGTTACGTTAATTATCTCCTCATGAGAGTATTTTATAAATAAAATATAAGCAGTTAAATTGTGAACAAAAAAATGTTTACTTGTCTTTCTGAACTTGTGTTTGCACCGGACACTTTGTATTTGTAAATAGCACATTGACACTATTGATATGTGTGGAGCACATTACTAGTATTGTCTGCTTTGGTAATATAATGAGTGTTTGTTTTAGTGTATGTGTCTTAATGTTTTATATTCAAGGAATTGTTTTGTTACGTATCCATCACATTGTAGGCAGACATTACTTTCAAAATTTTTGAGTGGAGCACTAAAATATTATCTCGTTATTTCAGTACGTACTCAGGTTTATTGACACTATTATTGTCAATAAAAGATAAAAATAAATCTGCTTATATTTTGATGTAGCTAGTAATCTATCTTTATTAAAAATACACATATATTTATATATGCCGGACAACATGGTTCCTGACATGACTCGACATGTAGCTCTACACATTGATAAAAGGCCTCTGTCGGGTTTCGCCGAGCGATATACGTGAATACAACCGTATTTTTAACTTTACAGAGGTTTTTATTCTAAAATGTCAATAGTAAAGAGAGCAATATTTTGTTAAAAAATCTATTTTTTTTTTGTTTGTTTTCAGTATTTGATAAAATTGTGATAATTACGATATCGTAATATCATCAGTATAATACAGATATTGTTTGATAATTGCACCGTTTCAGTTTTATATTTCGATGAAGATGTATCAGTAAGAAATACACGTTTTTTTAAATCAATTTTAAGGGTTAACTTAAAAACTAATTATTAGAGGTTTGATGTTAAATTGGATTTTATAAATGTATTAATAAGGCCACTGTGTCATTTTCATTGTTTTTTTGCCAACATAGTATTTACTTGACATAAACAACTTAAGCTTTTTAGGTGTGACTGTACTTTTTTAATACGACCCACGTTACTTTACATAGACTGTAATGGTTATTGCACGGGTTTGAACGCCATTGTCACATATATATGACAAACTAATTATTCAGATATTATAATATAAATGATTATCTCATTTATAAGGGTTTTTTTATGTCACACAAATGAAACAGTAGCCTAAAGGCATATATTAATTTAAAAAATTCAATTTAACAAATAACAGAATACAAACTAATTAAACTTAACATACACTAGTTAGAGTCAAAGGATGTGACGTAGTGACTAAACAATGCTTTTTTTCTTTAAAAACACTAATCTATGATTGTTTAAAAAAATGACTAGATCCGGTTTTCATTTATAATCACTGAGATCTCTATTCCGACAACGTTTAGTTATTCCTTTGACGAGTGTATCACGACAGCTTGTTGGCGATGGCGGCAGAGTATTGAGGAGGGGCGGAAGCGGACTCGTTTTTTGCTTAAAACAAAAAATCTAAACATTATTAAAGAAAAATAAATCACACTAATAGGGCGTAAGTTTGTGAGTGTGAGTGATTGTATGTTTGTAACTTCTTCACGCTTAAATGGCTTTACCAATTTTGCTAAAACTTGGTATGGAGTTAGCTGAAACTTTAGATTAACATATGGGCTACATTTTTATCCCGAAAAAAACGTAGTGTTCTCGTGGAATGAGCAAGGACTTTTAATATCTAGTAAACAGCTAGTCTATTTCTAAAGGATAAACAGTCTATTTCACGTGTGTGCATTATGTCCGACTACTTTCAGACCCAACGAACTGGTGAATGTCGCGGGAAGTACGGGACCGGTTGTTGTGGCAAAACTTGGAGGATACATATGTCCAGCAGTGGACGTCTTTCGGCTAAGAAGAAGAAAAAGTTTCAGACCCGAACTGGGACCTTGTGTCAAGGCTTATAGCGATCTTCCTTTTTATAACCCACACATTACCACAACGCACACATGGATAAAGCTGTTTATCCTTTATAAACGTGAATACCAGAAAAGTAAGCAAATTAAATATAAAAACGTGAATATGTTTTTATTAACATATGTATATAAAAAAAATTATTGACTATGTTTAGGTTTTCTTCAAAACAGAAAAATATTTTTGTACCTAAGTCGCATTTTTAGTGTAAGCTGCACATAAGTGCTTGTCAAATGTAAATTGCACATTAGTCATTTTGTTTGTAAGTCGCATATTAGTCACTTTAAGTATAAGACGCCCATTGGTGAATTTCAAATATTTGTCTTCGGTTCATTTAAAAAAGATAATTATGTAAAATTTAAGAGAACATGTTTTTTTTACAGATTTTTCTCTTAAAACAATTTTAATCTCTACCGCCAACACCTAGCACGTTAAGTAAGTATGTATATACACGTATAATTATTGCTGTTGTTTTTAAAAACAATTGTTGTTTACGCTACAATTGTTCTAGATAAACAACAATTGTTTTTTGGTTTAACGACGGGGATTCCTCCCATCCGGGTGTGGTCTCCGTGGTGGATTCAGCACTGTGGACAATTAACAAATGTAAGAAAATAAAAAATCTTTACACATCTCAATCACACAGACAGTTTGATCCCCAACTAGGCAGAGCCTGTCCTATGGTAACCAGACTCCTGATAAACATACTTCATCATCATCATCAACAGCCTTTAACAGTCCACTGCTGGACATAGGCTTCTCCTTAGAAAGGAGGTTATAATATTATAATAATATTATTTATTTGCAGAAAATGTGGTAGTCACAGTAGGTGGTTTACCATGTTTAAAGCACAAGACACATTTCGCTATATTTAGATAGCATGCAATTTTTTTAAATTGTACAGGTCAAATTATGAAATAAAATCAAAATACTTAAAAACATTGAATTGATGACTAATATACCTACTATAAAATTACATCATCATCATCATCAACAGCCTTTAATAGTCCACTGCTGGACATAGGTCTCTCCTTAGAAAGGAGGTTTTAGCCTACTATAAAATTACATTACATTGCAATTGAAATATCAAAAATCATATTAAAAATAATTACTACACTAATGCATTTCTGAAGCGATATGACTGAGTAGAGTAGTTTTTTTAAAAAATCATCGGTTTTGGCCTACAATGCCACGCTGGCCAGAGGGAAAACAAACAAAAACATACAATTAATTATTTGTCCGGTAAAAATAACGCTTCTGAAATTCGACTACAGTATATTTATACAGAGTGTTTTATTTCGTTATACAAATATTTAAGCCCTATATTCTGTCCTTAATTTCTAGGCGATTTGCAAAATATGAACAAAATATATCCAGTAGTTTAGCCACAGGACTCATTTTTGTGTTTCGTATTTTACAACACCATATGTTTACGCAAAGCTAAAGTACTAAGTGTCAATGACCTTCCCGCTGTCGCTATACAAACGCTACCGCACAAGTTACGAAATAATAATTAATAAAAAAAAAAATAAGAATTTCTTTAAAGTAAAATCAAACATATTGCAACGGCATACGGAAGATAATACTGTGTCTGACAACAAGGTTCTTACACTTGTGTTGGTCAGTGTCGGCGAAAATAAATTAGAAGCATGTAATTGGTTACTGTGTCATCGGATCGCTACCAACCTATTAGCATGTATGCATCGTAATTGCGCGCTTTTTTTTTACATATTGATTATAAACAAAATATGCTAATAAATAAGTATTTTAATATTATTAGGCTGTGTAAATTATATTGTTTATATTAAATGTTTTATTTACAGTACGTAATGATTACTACAGGTAAACTCATTATAATAATGTTTTTTGAGCTTTGACAATTGGCAGCATTGATTTAATTATTTAATATTCGATGACTTCCGGGTTCTAGAAAGTAGAGGGTCAGTTGGTCAGTTGGTGCCGGTGCAAGATTTTGTGTTGTTTTGCAATGAGTCCCGCTGATTTTATTTTGAAAGTATCAATATTAGTTTTGTTGTGGAGTGTGTGTGTGTATGTGTGAAATTAGGTTTCTTACTAGTGTTTTAATTATATTGATTTATCGATATTAACATTCATAATGCCGCGAGTGACCTTTACAGCCGCGGAGTATACTGACATGGTCCTAATTTACGGGAAATGCCATCAAAACGCTTTTTTAGCTTAAAGTGTTTGTCCTACAGACGGTCTAACTTTTGTTGTGGTTGTCAGGAAGCGTTTTAATCACATTTTTGGTGAACAGTGGATAGGACGCTATGGGCCTACACGATGGCTACCTAGATCACTAGATCTCACGCCTTTAGATTGAAAACCTAAAAATTTAAATTAGATTTACATTAATTTGATATACTATTGTATGTATGATGTACTAAACTGGTGTACAATAAAGTTTATTCTATTCTATTTTATTAAATAAAATTTTAAGGAAAGATTGATTTAGTGAATAAAAACAGTTGCGAGCGGTATTCATATTTTAGTAAATTGATAAAGTGATTTTAAATAAAAAGCAAGTGAAGTAACTGATTAGTGATAAGAATGTAATATTCGGCAAATCGACGCGGCACTCGCGTCGCCGCGTCGCTAGGCTCGTTTCGTTGTTGGCGCCATTTTTGCATCGCTGCCGTCGCGGCGTCTACAGGTGAGTGACCCGCGTGATCAATGGTGCTCCAATTTGACAATATTTTATTGTATTTATTTTGTTCTAAATTTGCATTTCTGTATTTTATAAAAAAAAAATTTTTTTTTCATTTTAACCTACTTATATTGACCTGTGTAATCCACCATTCAAAGGGTTGTTATAACTCTGGGGCCACGTTGTATACGTAAATGTGTAATTATAGGCTTTTACAGTTTTTTCTAATAAATTTTAAATACACATATATACATGTATATATTATCGTATAAGCGGAAATAGTTATTTTTGGAACGAAGTTCCTTATCACGCGTTGTGAAAGGGGGTTAGACGGAAAAAATTCTCACGAAAAGTTGTAACGACACTTTTTGCTATAGTAAGCTATTGTAAGCTGTGCGGCGTGCGCATGTTTCTCTGTCTGTCTCTCTCACTCTTATAGAAAGCAAGCCAGATATTTTCGTTTCGTCTTTCTATTTTTACATTATATTTGTTAATAATAAAAAAAATATATATTATAACTTAAAAAAAATAAAATTTTATTACAATTCCTTCACTAATTAATCGAAAGGAACTTCGTTCTATCCGGGTGTCCCTTGACAACTCTCAAGTTTTTTAATTGTGTACAGGTTATGTACATTTTTTTTAATTTTAGATTAGATTTATATGTTAATAAAATGTGTGTAAAAAAATGTCTATGTGTATATACATAGATATATATATGTGTATATACATAGATATATATATATATATATATATAGAGCCCTGCACCCAGACCAATCAGGTTTCAAGCTTTTTTTTTAAATACAACATCCGTACTAGGAAAATATCCTGTGTCGTGGAGGACTTTACAAACATACATGAAATGGACACAAAACACACAGACTCAGAACAACAATTTGTGGATCACACAAAGTGTCGTCCCATGTGGAGATCGAACTCACAACATTCAGCGAAATAGGAAGCGGCTAGTTGACCGCTTAAACCACTACGCCATCCGTGCAGTCATGGACCGTAGCATGGCCTATATCTGCTTACGGACTCTTAAAAGGTCTACAGGTCAGTCAGAGACAGTCCAGCTTCAGTTTGAAACGATGATTCTTGGAATTTGATTGGCTAGGAAGCGGGCTCTGATAGTTTGTTGACGCGAATGGAGTTGGACTATGGGTATATATAGTATGACATGTGGACAGTACCTGGGTGCAGCGGCGCGGGCGAGCGGCGGCACCACGCGCCGGGAGACACCTGCGAATTCACCACGAGCTGCGTTACACAACACCATCATTGGTATTATTGTACCACATTCACACAACGCCATCTAGTCCCGAACTAAGCAGAGCTTGTACTATGGGTACTAGACAACTGATATAAATACATATATACTTTTCTTTTTTGTAAATACATACATATTATACATAGAAACACTCAGACTAAATCAAACATTAAATGTTCATGCACACAAATGTATAATTTAAGCAGGAATCGAACCCGCGACCTTTGGAATAGCAGTCCGTTACAAAAACCACCCGTCGTGGGTTAATATTATGTTAAATACATATATTTTACTAAATAATCTCTCATGGCCTTGTCTGCGTATAATTTATACAACCTTTCCTCCAATTCCACCAGTTTCATGTTTTCATTTCGCCATAAAGATTGGTTATATAATTTTCTTCTCGTTTGTACAAAAAAATCTTCGAAATTGATTTATTTTGAGTTTAATCACAAAAACCTATCATCATCAACAGCCTTTACTAGTCCACTACTGGATATAAACCTCTCCTTAGAAAGGAGGTTTTGGTCTACTATACCACGCTGGCCAGACGGGTTGGTATAGGAGAATAGTACCAGCCGGTCATCGCCGAGTGGGCAGGGCGGCAGCACGGGACCCTTTCCTTCCGACTGACGCAGGTGCTTTCCGGGCACGGTTGCTTCGGAAAGTACCTGCACACGGTCGCTAGGAGGGAACTGAGTCCCGCCTGCCACCACTGCGACTGCAGTGAGGACTCGGCCCAGCACACGCTGGCGGTCTGCCCCGCATGGGCGGCGCAGCGCCGGGCCCTCACTGCAGTCATCGGAGTGGATCTCTCGCTACCGGCCGTAGTACGCTCCATGGCCGGTAGCGACAGTTGTTTTACCGCGGTCGCAACCTTCCGCGAGGTAGTAATCTCGCGGAAGGAGGCGGCGGAGAGGGCCCGGGAGGACGACCTCCACTCGGACCCGATCCGCCGCCGGCGAACCGGGCGGCGGAGGCCCGCCTACCACAGCCTCATGCCGCCCTGAGTGTGGCCGCGGGTGGACGGGGTGGGTTTCCCCTCCACCCGCATTAGTTTGGCCAGCCGCGAGGGGGCGGCGTCCGCGTGTGCCGGACGTCGCCTATAAAGAGAGGAAAAAACACTGAGACGGAGCCCGCACCAGGAGCGGGCTGGCGCTAGGAGGGGTCCGGATGTCTTAACAACAGCTGTTCCCGGATCCCTCCTGTTACAGGCGCAGAGTGGCACACCGTGTGGTTTTAGTCGGTCCGAGTCCGACACACCACCCCGCCGCAAACCCCGGTGGGGTGACGGTCCGAGGGGATTTCCACACGTTAAAAAAAAAAAAAAAAAAAAAAAAGGAGAATAGTATATAATAAATAATAATCTATATATAGTTTATATTTTTATATAATTTCGTAAATACTGTTAAACAACTTATTTATTTTAACCACAGAAAATTAAATTAAATATTTTTGGTCTCTTACCAAAAATATCCAACTTTTTTTTAAATATATCTCACAGAGCCGTCTGATTCTAAACTAGGCAGAGCTTGTACTATGGTAACCAGACTACTGATATATTTCTAAATACATACATATTATAGATAAATAACACCCAGACACAGAACAAATGACCGTGCTCATCACACAATATTTATCCTAGGTGGGAATCGAACCCACAACCTACGGCCAAGCAGTCGGGTCACTAACCACTAGACCAACAGGCCAATTTAACGTCTCATTCCCACTCATTCTCAATTGTTATAATTTATTTACCTGTCTCAACAAATACGGCTGTCTATACAGTGGGACGTTGAGCCCCCTGGCTCTGACGTCATATCTGTCCTGTCCACTACTTTGCCCAGCGTTGGGCTTGTCCTTGTCGTCCCGCTCCTGCCGGCGGGGACGATCTTTGTAGTCGAAGCGTTGGTACTCGCGACGATTATCTTGATCTGAGAATAATAAAAGATTTGATATAATTAACGTTTAAAAAAATTATCATCCTAAATCATAATAAATTGAAGCAAGATGTATTTTGCGTCCCTTAATTTGCCACCTTTAGGCTTAGGTATACTAAATTATCACGTAGTTAGTGGTTAGTGACCCACTACTAGGCCATAGGTCGTGGGTTCGATTCCCACTCAGGACTAATAATTACGTGATGACGTGATGAGCACGATCATTTTTGGAGTGTCTAGGTGTAATTTATCTACAATATGTATGTATTTAGAAATATATAAGTATGTTTATCAGCAGTCTGGGTACCATAGTACAGGCTCTGCCTAGCTTGGGATCAGACGGCCGTGTGTGACATGTGGGAAGTTACTGTTAATATTATTACAATTCTAAAACCCAAAGTACCCGGCTCCGACACGAATATATATTTATGTTGTACGTATATACACAATATATGTTTACATTATATACAGTTATATTATCAATATATTTCAACCCAAACTCAACTCGTGTAAACGGGGCCAGTATATGTAGATACTTACATACAGAGGTGTCGGTAACGGTAATAATGTCGCGAATTCAATGGGTTTTTTTCTAATCTCATTTTGTTTGTTGTTCAAAAATGACCAACGCGCCTAAAGAAGTTTTCACTTCAATAAAACCTGTAATAATATCTTCACACATCTCATACACGGCCGTCTGATCCAAACTAGGCAGAGCCTGTACTATGGTAACCAATCTGCTGATAAACATACGTATAACTAAATACATACACAATATAGATAAATCGCACAAAGACACAAAACAAATTATAGTGCTCAGTACACAATTAGATATCTGTCCTGGGTATCGAATCCATGACTAGCACAGCAATCAGCATTACTTACCACTGACTAACAATACAAAGTTGTACAAACAAACTTACATGTATTATTTTTAGCTTGCATGTTCCTGATGGAATTAACAATGGCGCGGGCAGCTGAACTCAAATGCGCTTCGTCGTGCGAACGTCTGTTGACAAATAAACATAATTATGAGCTATTATGGTAATAATAATTGTACATGTTATAACTAGTATAAACCAAACAATGTAAATTTTCATAGTTTTCTAAATGGCTCACTAGTTGGAGCTACTGTCTATGTCTTGATTATGTCATTCTGTTCGGTCGTATAATACTCACTCTTGTGTTAACTGTGTTTCTGAGCTAACTAGATTATAAATACATCTCAGTATACCAATTTCGTCCAAATTCGTCCGTGTGGTGACAGATTAAGAATACAGATTTTCACCACCCCTATTCAACGGGTGTTGTAAGAGTCAACTAAGGGAAAAAACTACACAGAACAACAACACTACACAGAGAGAAGGAAAACTTGACACAAACCCTATACCAACCCGTCTGGCCAGCGTGGTACAGTAGGCCAAAGCCTCCTTTCTAAGGAGAGGCTTATGTCCAGCAGTGGACTATTAAAGGCTGTTGATGATGATGATACCAATTTAATCTATTGTTATTTTCGCCCAATCCCATCAGTATAGATAGCACAATAAATATCTTTTTAAAAATAAATCTTTATAAGAAGATGTGGATATCCATCTGAGGTAACAGACAGACAGAAGAAAGAGAAACATTTATTCTGACATTCACAGAATACTAACTTTTTTTTTTTTTTTTTTTTTTTTAATTTTTTTTTTTTTTATGTGCTATTCACAGAATAGCACATAATTTTATAATTGTAATTTTATTATAAAATTCAAAGTTTGACAACGGATTTGGAATTAGCTACCAACACATATACTAGTCCAACAACACTTCTGCCTATTCTCACGTCACAAAGGTCGTGAAGATGCATTAATAATACAATTATATGATAGTATGTGAGGTGACAGATTAAGAATACGGAGTGTTCACCACCCCTAACTAACTAACAAAGGGAGGACTAGACTGAACTACGCAGAACAACAGCACTGCAGAGAGAAGGTAAAATTTAAACAATATACCAACCCATCTGGCCAGCGTGGTATAGTAGACCAAAACCTCCTTTCTAAGGAGAGGCGTATGTCCAGCAGTGGACTAGTGAAGCTCGTTCTTATGTATTTCGAAATTTACAAATTAACATATTACTCTGTATTTGTCTATTCTGTCTATCCGACTAAAAGTAATTATAAACTAAATAATAACAAATACAAACCCCATGACTCTGCCGTTGAAATTGTTAACGGGACAGTTGCCCAGCAAGCCATTGCCGCTGTTCCTCCTCCTACCCTCCTTCCACTCGCTCCTCTCGGTACGCTCCGGCCTATTGCCACCGTCTTTGACGTTTAAATCAGCCATCTGAAAAATTTTTTTTGTTAAATTTGAAGACGAGAATCGAACCTGCATCACACTTAATAATTACTCTGCATTTTTTAAAAGACTTGTATTAATTTTTATTCCAGCTTCTTTACTCTATCTATTCCTATCTCAATTTACTTCCTTTATTCTTTTTTTTTATGTTAAGGGATGGGATTACACCGAGAAGGCTGGTTACCTTATGTTAAGTGACAACAATCACCCATGTACACATGCAACACAAAGTCACAAGTGCGTTCTCGCCCCCTAGAATTAAATGAGGGGGGATTGTACTCCGGTAACTAGACGGAAACGAAATGAAGCTTAATACCGGTTTATACACACACGCAATACCGGCTCATTTGTGAGGAAGTACGGCTCTCCCACGGATTATATTATAGCACAGGCAGCTATTAAAAAGATAACTCCCGCACTAGGAATATATATATATATATATATTTTTTGTGTTCCTTGTTTGTGTCTGTGTTTGTCTGGGTGTTCGTTGTGTCCATTTATGTATATTTGTAAAGTCCCTCGTGACATATATATATATATATATATATATATATATACACACAATACACAAAGACCAGTGGATGTGGTGGACACACAAAGTGTTGTCCCATGTTGGGATCGAACTCACAACACTCAGCGTAGTAGCAAGCGGTGAGGTAACCGCTTAAACCACTTTTTTTTTTGTTTTAAAAAAACAACGCCTGCATTAGGAATATATCCTGTGTCGCGATGACTTTACAAACATACATGAAACGGACAAAAAGAACACCCAGACTCAGAACAACAAATTGTGAATCACACGAAGTGTCGTCCCATGTTGGGTTTGAACCCACAACACTCGGCGTAGTAGGAAGCGGCGTGGCGACCCCTTAAACCACTACGCCATCCGTGCAGTCAAAGTTGGAAAATGGGTCTCAAAATGGCGTTGTTTGAGTTACCTGAGACTTGATCTGTTGTATCTTGGCAGCTATCTCCGCTTGCCTGGCCTGCTCCTCATACGCCGCCTTGTCCGGAGTATTCCGTGAGGAAGTAGACAGGCTGTTCCGCTTGGCGCGTGCGTGAGGAATGCTGTTACGACGCTCGGGTGGTTTCTGGTCGAGGATCGGGTAGATCGGCTGGCAGATCGGGTACGGTTGGGGTATCACCTGGAATGATACAAGGAAGGTAAGTAAATAAACAATGGTAAAAATATATTCTTTATTGGACATCTTATGTGTAGAAAAAACCGGTCAGGTACGAGTCAACTCGTGCGGTTCCGTACGTACCCAGATTTTACGTAGATTTTCGCGAAAATGTTGAAAATCTAAATTTGCCATATCTTATCGTGTTGACTTAGGACCTTGATTTTTATACACCTAATAGGGACCATAAACCTCAGTATCTGGTATAAATTTCAACTGGCTAGGTCTACCCGTTCCTGACAAAAAAGTTGTGACACACGAACAGACAGACAAGAAAGTGATCTTATAATGGTTCCTTTTTTACCTTTTGAGGTAAGGAACCCTTTTTTTTTTCCGTGCGGAAATCCCCTCGGATACCACCTATCGGTGACATGTCGGACTCGAACCGACTAAAACCGCACGCCGTCTCGGATACTAATAGCCGGGGAACCAGGTATACCCTAGAAAGGAAGTCCCTGGTGCAAGAGGTAAGGAACCCTAGAAACGGGCGAAGTTTACATAAGTCGCATCTGATGCCGTCTGACTGCCTGGCCTTCTCAGACTTCTTGTTAGAGATTTATAGAAACTCTGAGGAATTTTGTCCGTGTGGTGACGGATTAAGAATACGGAATGTCACCTCCCCTATTCATCCCATGGGTGTCGTAAGAGACGACTAAGGGAGCAGACTACGCAGGACAACAGCACTGCAAAGAGAAGGAAAACTTGACACAAACCCTATACCAACCCGTCTGGCCAGCGTGGTATAGTAGGCCAAAACCTCCTTTCTAATGTGCCTATGTCCAGCAGTGGACTATTATAGGCTGTTGATGATGAGGAATTTAGCGTGTGTTTGGATGCAGAGATCTCAATGCCGAGAGCAATGGATAATATTAAAAAAAATCTACGCTAAGTTGGTCAAAAAGCGCTAGTAAAATATATTTTTTAGTAAACTAGCCTCTAGTGGATTTTGACTGCTGATTCAGAGATTGTGGTTTTGATTCCCACCCAAGGCAAATATCGCAGAACCATCACATTCACAGCCTTTAATAGTCTACTGCTGGTCATATGCCTCTCCTTAGCAAGGATGTTTTGACCTACTATACCACGCTGGCCAGACGGGTTGGTTTGTGTCAAGTTTTTCTTCTCTTTTCAGTGCTGTTGTCCTGCGTAGTTTGCTCCCTTAGTCGGCTCTTACGACACCCACGGGATGAATAGGGGTGGTGGCACTCCGTATTCTTAATCCGTTACCACAGAGATATCGCAGGATACATAAGGGTAAATCCCAACCAGCAAACTCTTTGAAATTAATATACTCTTACAACGATACCATAAAGTACAATTCAGATTGCACAGTACTAATAACCTATGGTTATCTTACCATAGTACAGGCTCTGCCTAGTTTGGGATCAGACAGCCGTGTGTGAGATGTGTGAGGTTGTTTGACGACCGAATGGCGTAGTGGTTTGTGTAACGGACTGCTATTCCAAAGGTCGCGGGTTCGATTCCCGCTCAAGTCAAGCATTTGTGTGCATGAACATTTAATGTTTGATTTGGTCTGGGTGTTTCTATGTATAATATGTATGTATTTACAAAAAAAAAAGTATATATGTATTTATATCAGTTGTCTAGTACCCATAGTACAAGCTCTGCTTAGTTTGGGACTAGATGGCGTTGTGTGAATGTGGTACAATATTATTATTATTATTATTATTTATTATTAACTGATTCTCTTTCTAATTCTTATTTCTTTTCCATTTATTGAAGTGATAACTTCTTTAGGCGCGTTGGGCATTTTTGAACAACAAACAAAAGAATGTATTTTTTGTGATGGGAAAAAACCATTGACACTGTTACCGTTACCGACACCTCTGTATTAAAGTATCTACATATACTGGCCCCGTTTACACGAGAGTCGTGTTTGGGTTGAAATACATTGATAATATAACTATATATAATATAAACATATATTGTGTATATACGTACAACATAGATATACATATATTCAGGTCGGAACTTTACGAATCAAAAAAAAAATACTGTTATAATAAAAAAAATTTAAATTTTCAGGTTTTCACTTCTGTCAGCACTTCCGGAGAGCCACTGTTTTTTTAATATTTCAGCCATCTTTTGGAAGTACTAAAAATATAAGATACCGTTACCTGTGGATACACGATATTGTAGTGTGGGTATGCGGGTTGAGGGTACGGCACCATGGTGGGGTACAGCTCTGGCACCACCAGCTTTGGTGCGGGGGCCACGCCACCCCATTGCAGGGGCTCTTGGTACTGAAACAGATAATTATATTTTAGTAGTCATTAAAATAGGCAAAAATATTAATTAATCAAACAATAAAATCTATTTTTTGTTTTTTTTTTGTTAGTATGGGGTAAACTAACAGTTCCAGCGATTTACTTTCAAGGGTACATTTTGATTCCCCGGGTACTCGTACCTGAGATGGCGTGAGGGTTTTAGTGATCAAAACAATCATCATCATCATCAGACTATCGCAGTCCACTGCTGGACTTAAGCCTTTCCGATTTCAAGCCACTTGATCGATTTTTGGATAAAAAAACAATTATTAACCTTAAAAAAATTCTGCAACTTATTACATAAAAAACTATTCATTCTTTCTTTTATTTACTGTCTTTGTCAATCAAAAGGTTGACTCTTAAGAAATTGCTTAAATTAGAAATACTCATAAACCCTGGACTGTAAAGAAAAGCTGCAACTGTTCAGATTTGAACTTGAGACTTACCGGATATGGTTGAAGGTGTGGTTGTGGTAATATCATATTCCCAACCGGATAGGGGCCGGGCAAAACCTGTGGTATTTCCACTTGATTGTAGGGTACACTGTAACTAAACAATACATATGGTATGAATACAAGACTATTAAGACACAGTGTTGCTCCACATTTTCATCTCATGGATGTCGTAAAGCCAACTAAGGGAGCAAGCTACGCAAGACAACAGCACTGCAAAGAGAAGGAAAACTTGACACAAACACTATACCAACCCGTCTGGCCAGCGTGGTATAGTAGGCCAAAACCTCCTTTCTAAGGAGAGGCCCTTGTCCAGCATTGGACTATTAAAGGCTGTTGATGATTAAGTACACACTATTTATAGTGAGTAATAAATATACATTTCAGAGCCATCTAGTGACAGCAAGCTGAACTAAGTAGTAATTAATGATCCTAAATCGCGCAATAAACATTATCGAGCTGATAATTTCAGGCAAGTCATTATTTGGACTGAAGAGAAAACAGGTAAAAGTATTTTGGACTCGTTTTTTTTTTCTTTTCTTTTTATAGTAACTTCTGAACTAGGAATATATATTCTGTGTCACGGAGGACTGACACAAACATGCATGAAACGGACACAAAGAACACTTAGACTTGATTTGATTTGATTGTGGATCACGCAAAGTGTTGTCGCATGTGGGGATCGAACAAAATTTCATCAAAACTATTTTTTTAATTATATTTTTTGTTACTTTTAAGAATTTAAATTTTAAACATCGCTTGTAACTTTGTTCGCTTGGTTGATGGTATTATTATTTTTTCACTGAGCTTGCTGTGGTCTCCTGTAAGTAAAGGAGTACACCGACTTTAAACCCATTCTGTTAATTACTGTTTTTTTACTTGTGTATATCTTTCGTAGGTGATCCTAATAAATAAATAAACACTCCGCGCACTAAGAAGCAGCGAGGTTACCGCTTAAACCACCATCACCATCCGTGCAGTCAAACCGGACAAGGCAGAACTAAAAGTCATTCATTGGATTCTCCAAGTAAGCAAGGTAATCATAGTCTGTGTTAGTGGGATATCCCAACCGTTCTTCCAGAAGAACTTAGAAAATGAGAGCCGTCAGCAATAAAGACTGTATGCCTACGAGACCATCTTAAATTTAAAAATGCGTCTTGTTTCTTTTGGAAGTCGAAGTTTTGTGAAGTCGGTTAAAAAAATTATCTAAAAAAAAAAACTGTAATATTAAAATAACCGCTTTTTACTAAATGCATATGTATGTTTACACGGTACATATGCCAAAATATCATTTTTTACAATTTTTGTCTGTCTGTTTGTTCTGGGTAATCTCTGGAACGGCTGGACCGATTTCGCCGGGACTTTCACTGGCAGATAGCTGATGACATAAGGAGTAACTTAGGCTACGTTTTTTAGACTAGCTTCGCCCCGCGGCGTTGCCTGCGGTTATAACAACAAACGCGGGTAGAACCGCGGGTCTCAGCTAGTGTACTTATATATGTAAATAGTATGTATTTGTATGCTGAATGTTATTTCTTTACGATTTTTTCGAATAAAATATACCGCATTTATGTAATAACTAGCTGGTGGCTTTGGATCAATTGTATAAGGTTTTGCTGAGAGAAAAAATAGCCTAAGTTACTTCTTATATAGACTACCTGATTGTAAAATATTATCAAAATCGGTCCAGCCGTTTTGAAGTTATCCGAAACAAACCGACAGACAGAGAAAAATATTGAAACTGGTTTTGAGGCATAGGTACCGTGCAAATAACCGTGTGAGCATGAAAAAAAAACTATTATTTTGACATCACAAACAGACACTTCAATTTTATTTATTTACTAGCTGAGACCCGCGGTGTTACCCGCGTTTGTTATTATAACCACGGGCAACGCCGCGGGGCGAAGCTAGTCTAAAAAAAGTAGCCTAAGTTACTCCTCATGTCATCAGCTATCTGCTAGTGAAAGTCCCGTTGAAATCGGTCGACCGTTCCAGAGATTACCCGGAACAAACAAACAGACAGACAGACAGATAAAAATTGTAAAAAATGTTATTTTGGCATATGTACCGTGTAAACATACATATGCATTTAGTAAAAAGCGGTTATTTTAATATTACAAACAGACACTCCAACTTTATTTATTTGTATAGATATGAATAGTTAAACATGTATCTGCAAAAGCTTAATAGGTTTTGTAACTGCATTTCCTACTTTTATGTTAAAAGCATGCGATGGCAGCCTTTAATTAAGTCTACACTATCTAATATATGAAATTCTCGTGTCACGGTGTGCGTGGTTCAACACCTCCGAAACGGCTCGACCGATTTTCGTGAAATTTTGTGTGCATATCGGGTAGGTCTGAGAATCGGCCAACATCTATTTTTCATACCCCTAATTATTATTTTTTGACATTTTTTTTTAAATATGGCAATACAACGTCAGCTAGTAAAATATAAAAATATGGTAACATTAACATGTATTTTAGTATAAGCTATGTTAGTTATCCTGAATTAAATAAATATCTCTGTTTTAAAACCCATATTATATCTTCAAGCTTTGTTCAGTTTGTGTGTGGACAGCACGGTGTAGTATGTACTAGATAACTATTATTATTATTACCTTCTCTGCTGATGCTGTAAGGAGCTGGTGTCCACGCACGCTCCACAGGCCGCTCCCGTGTAGTCCACGGCAGCGTATGGGTACGAAGGATCTATAAATAAAAACAAAATTATAAATCTTTAGTATTTTCCATTTATGGTATAATTCTAATCAATATTTATATTTTTTTATAATAATATACCTTACACATCTCACACACGGCAGTCTGATTCCAAACTAGGCAGAGCCTGTACTACGGTAACCAGACTGCTGATAAACATACTTATATATTTCTAAATACGTACAAATGACATATATATATAACTGTTAAGTTAATTTGTGTACGCTTCAATAACTCAAAAAGTTCTGTACCGATAAGTTTAAAAAAAATATATCCTGTGTCTGACCACCCAGACTAAGAAAACATTTTGTGGATAACACAAAGTGTCGTCCTATATGGGGATCGAACCCACAACACTCAGCGTAGTAGGAAGCGGCGTGGCGACCGCTTAAACCACTACGCCATCCGTGCAGTCATTTTGACAGTATATACAAACCACTTCAAAGATTGTTTTTATACGACTTCGGTCAAGCCGGATACATACCGAAGCATGGCTCTCCCACGGATACCGCTATACTTAATAAAAGATAACGTCACGTCACTAACTACACACACACACACACGAACACACACACACACACACACACACACACACACACACACACACACACACGAACACACACAATCGCCCACGTACACACAAAATAAAATAACTAACTAAGACATCACCTGTAAAATAGATTTCAACAAAATTTGCTCTGTATTGTAAAAGTAAAAGAAATAGAAACTAAACCTGGAAAGGAGGCCTGGTGACCTGAAGCCTAGTTTAGACACCAGTCTCCCACAATCATCTAGGGATATGTAAAAGTCTAATTTATCTTGTAACTGACCTGTGGTTAGAAAATAAATGAATTATTATTATTGTACACGTACCAATCCTGAAGGTGGCTTCGTTAGCGTGGGGCGATGGGGTCAACTTGTGCTCCTCTGGTTGTACCACCTGCTGGTACACCTGCATGGGCGCGTCCTGTCAAATGTATCAAATATTTGGTATTTTGACGTTTTTTTTTGGTATAGGGACTGTGGAGGAACGGGTGTCATTTCCTTCCAACACAAAGGGAGGATCCTCCGACCAGGCGAGGTGATCATGCCTGGAGGGCCGCGGCCCAACGGTCGATGTTTGGCAGTTGTAAATATGCTAATCGGCGAGGGAATTCTTCATATCGCGATACAGGATTAGCAATTCTTATTTAGTAGTTACTCCGTAGTTCGGTGTGCCTTCATTAGATGGCGCTGTAGTATGTTTCTGTTTCTTTGTATGTGGGAGTCGCCACAGGACAATTGAGCAGACGGGTCACCAGAGGGCTTAGTATGAGTTCATTTCACACTAGCTTTAGGTGCCCGCGTAAATGTTGGTTATCGCGGTAAAAACTCATATGTCTCTCATCAAGAATCAAAGTATCTCCATACCAAATTTTACTTAAATCGAGCGGTTCTTGATTCCCCATCCAAACTTCCACCCCCTTAAAGTATGATTTGCTGGGTTAAAACTACCCATGTCCTTTCCCGGGACTCGAGACTATCTCTATACCAAATTTCATCTAAATCAGTTCGGCGGTTTAAGCGTGAAGAGGTAACAGACAGACACAAATACTTTCGTATTTATCTTATACAATGTGTCTCGGTTGGGACTGTACAAACTTTAGGGGGTGATAGTTTGTTCTATTTTATCACTAAAATCATTCTACAGGTGGGGTCTAAACCCAACGGCCTCTGAATGGCAGCCATTTTTGTATTTTGGTTGACTTTTTCGTAGCGTCCATACTAAAAGTTATGTAACTTTGGAGTTTAATGTCCGATTATCGTAAAACAAAAACTTCCCATAACGGAAAAGTATTAGCAATCAGATAAATAACTCAAATAATTTTAATAATTGCTGTATCATATTAAAATGAATGCTAAAAGATCAACTTTACGTCAAAATTAACATTGTTTTTTAGTATTTCAAGGCTATTACAAAAAATACCCCTATCTCTTATTACGCATGTGTCTCAGAGATGGTAAGCTGACCTAAATAATGATACCAAAAACTCGATTCTATGACAACTGGTGTAAGAGATATTGTTGCTCGAACGCAGCCCTTCCGTGCGTAAGATATGAATGAGCACCGCAATCTACACTTGTGGATGGCTGAAAATCCACATGCTGTTAGAACATCAACATTTCAGCATGAATTTTCTGTTAATGTGTGGGCAGCTATGATCGATGATCAATTGATTGGCCCCATCGTACTTCCAAGAAATTTAAATGGCCCAAGATTTTTAGAGTTTCTGACCAATTAATTTTCTGAAGCGTTATTAGAATTACCAGTGTCATAACGGCGACGCATGTGGCTTCAGTTAGATGGAGCTCCTCCACACTTTGCCCGAGCGGTAAATGCACACCTAGACCAATATCATCCACAGTGGATTGGCCGCGGCGGTCCTGTAGCCTGGCCACCGCGTTCGCCATACTTAACGCCACTGGACTTTTATCTCTGGGGTTGGATGAAACATAAAGTTTATTCCAGTCAACACCAGAAAAGAGTTGCTGGAGCGTATTCGCGTTGCTGCTGCCGAAATTAAAGATAGTCCGAACCAGTTGAGACGGTCAACACAGCAGGTAGCGATCCGGGCTACTGCGTGCCTTCAAAGTGCTGGGGGACATTTTGAACAATTATTGTAAATGTACATTTGTTATTAAATAATTAATACTTGTTATTTTGTTTATCTTTGCTAATCACTTTAAATATCTAAAGAAGAAACCAAATCGTTATGAATTCACTACATGCACAAGCCTATGTTCCAACAACAATATTTTTTAAACCAATTGTCATAGAATCGAGTTTTTGGTATCATTATTTAGGTAAGCTTACCATCTGTGAGACACATGCATAATAAGAGATAGTTCACAGGGGTATTTTTTGTAATAGCCTTGAAATACTAAAAAACAATGTTAATTTTGACGTAAAGTTGATCTTTTAGCATTCATTTTAATATGATACAGCAATTATTAAAATTATTTGAGTTATTTATCTGATTGCTAATACTTTTCCGTTATGGGAAGTTTTTGGTTTACGATAATCGGACATTAAACTCCAAAGTTACATAACTTTTAGTATGGACGCTACGAAAAAGTCAACCAAAATACAAAAATGGCTGCCATTCAGAGGCCGTTGGGTTTAGACCCCACCTGTAGAATGATTTTAGTGATAAAATAGAGCAAACTATCACCCCCTAAAGTTTGTACAGTCCGAACCGAGACACATTGTATATAAAATTCTCGTGTCACAATGTTCGTTCCCGTACTCCTCCGAAACGGCTTGACCGATTCTCATGAAATTTTGTGTGCACATCGGGTAGGTCTGAGAATGGGCCAACATCTATTTTTCATACCCCTAAATGGTAAGGGTGACCCATCCCTAATTTTTTTTTGTTTTGCAATACAACGTTTGCCGGGTCAGCTAGTTTATTTATATAACTTTGTGCACTTTTGTACATCGGCGGACTTAATGTCCAGGGCATTCTCTTCTAGTCAACAGTTGGGTGGTGTAGTAATCTTGTAAGGTAGGTGCACAGAGGTTACGTCTTAATATATTAAGTTACAATTGAAAGTATATGTAACGGTTCGCTACATATATAAACTAATAGATACTCATATACAACATAACACATCATAAATATATAAATATACAAGCTTTTTTTTTTGATAATTTTTATCTGATTTTATGGTTTATGATTGTGTTAATTTTGTTAAATTTGGTACAATTTCACTATTAACAGTATAACAATAATAATATAATTTATTTCAGAAATCTTGTTCCATATACAAAAACAATAATTCTTTACATTATATCATCAATCACAATTTACTTAAAAATAAATAAATAAATAAAATTAATTAATATTTGAAAACATTACTTCATTGATTAAGATTAAAATCAAAAGTAGGTCATGTCACAAAATCAAGTAAACAATCATAAAATAGTTAATTAAATAGTCAAAATTTGATGTCATAAATTAAATTACCTAACCTAACCCAACCAGCACAGTCGTCCAATGGTGGCTGATAGGACACTGGTATCTTCCACCAACCGCCCTCAGGATACTGTTGCAACTGCCGCACACTCTATTCATAAGCGAGGCTACTTTTTGACGTGACAACGTCTTATAATTCGATGGAGCCGGCTGCACGCACGAAAAAACATGACTCATGCGGCGTTACCTCGCTCTGAGGCGTTCCATTTAAGGCGTGAAGTGCAAGCGAGAGCGCGGAACGAGTGACAAAGAGGCACAATCGGCCTCCGCGTTCGGCAGCGTTCGACATCTGTCTCTCTCCTACTTGAGTGAGCGATGCGTCCGCGTGGACAGCTGCTACTCGTATACAATAATACATTTTTGAAAAATGCAACCATTCCATCGGTATTTTCTTATGACGTTGTCACGTTCAACTATCGTCAGTAAACCGACTTTACAGACAACCGATTTTTTTTTTGCGCAATATTTTAATATAGTCTGCTGATCTCGTAAAGTGCATAAGCTTTTAGTTAAGTTTTAGTTGTATTTTAAGGTTGCTATTTTGGTTTTTTATAATTATTATGTTGTCTATTTGTGAATGCTGTGCATATTTGTAATTAGAGTAGCACCTGAACTAAGTTGAAATAATTATGTATATGAATGTTTGTGTCTATTCTGTAAATATGCCTTAATAAATAGTAAGTAGTAATAAGTTGAGGGGAAACTAGTATCTCTTTTACTTTTATGATTACCGCCGCCACCCATAGACACCTACAACGCAAAAAACGCTCTCTTGCCCCCCTCCTCCCCTTCCCAATTAATTATTGGTTAACCCTCCGGTACCTCACGCACTCGGTGTTATTAAACGAAGGAGTTGTATCTGTGAGGTCCTGGTATCAATCCGTGTCGAACTATGATGTCTCATCCAAAAACATCATGATTATCAAACATAATACTTACAACTCTGACGTGGTACGGGTATCCCTGGGCGACTGGACCTGGATACATCATGTTTGTCATAGACATTGGACCTGTGGACATTAATAACAACATCAGGGCCTCAATTCTGCTATTACGCCAAGCCAGTGTCATACCACTGACACGCTATTGAGATGCCATCGAGTGGCCATTGGCATCGGTATAAATATCGGTAGTTGAAAATATATTACGTTATTTGAGGAAATGATTTATTTGTTTTTAATAAATTATTAAAAGAAATAAATAAATAAAAATTTGTGAATTCCCACGTGACACAGGATATAATTCCTAGTGAGGGAGTTGTCTTTTAAAGTGAAATAAAAAAATAACTTGATACACACGGCCGTCTGATCCCAAACTAGGCAGAGCCTGTACTATGGTAACCAGACTGCTGATAAACATGCTTATATATTACTAAATACATACATCATCACCAACAGCCTTTACTAGTCCACTGCTGCTAGAAGTGGACTAGTAAAGGCTGGACATAGGCCTCTCCTTGGAAAGGAGGTTTTGGGCTACTATACCACGCTGGCCAGACGGGTTGGTATAGGGTTTGTGTAAAGTTTTCCTTCTCTCTGCAGTGCTGTTGTCCTGCGTAGTTCGCTCCCTTAGTCGGCTCTTAGGACACCCACGGGATGAATAGGGGTAGTAACACTTCGTATTCTTAATCCGTCACCACACGGACATACATATTATAATAATGATATAATATTCTAGCACATTCACACAACGCCATCTAGTCCCAAACTAAGCGAACTTGTACTATGGGTACTAGACAACTGATATAAATACATATATACTTTTTTTTTAAAAATACATACATATTATACATCGAGACACCCAGACCAAATCAAACATTAAAATTTCATGCACACAAATATTTGACTTGAGCGGGAATCGACCCGCGACCTTTGGAATAGCAGTCCGTTACACAAACCACTATGCTATTCGGTCGTTAAAATTTTAGATAAATTACATGTATACACACAACAAACGAGTGTCAATCACAAATTCATTAATCTAAGTGGGAATTGAACCCTCTAGATTAGCAGTCCACTAAACACTAAACCAACAGACCAATCAAATTTGGAAGCGGCGGTAGCCTAGTGGTTAAGGCATTGAACTTGAGATGAAGAGGTTTTGGGTTCGAATTCTGACCAGCACACTACCAACGTGAACCCACTCCTAACACAAGCAATTAAGCTTAGTGGGAGGGGTTAACGGGAATACTAGTCATTTCGGTAGCTGGTAGACCTTTTAAAAAAATACTCAAATAAACAGTGAATATCAAAAACGGCGTTAACGATTCGGATCAATTATTATATTTAGATAAGTGAGTAGTTTTTGAGGTATCCATATATTTCGAGGTTAAATCATCATCATCATCAGCCTATCGCAGTCCACTGTTGGACATAGGCCTCTCCCATTACACGACACTTAAATCGATTTTGGGCTTCTCGCATCCAGCTCCTGCCAGCTATCATACGCAAATCGTCACTCCACCTAGCCTGTGAGCGTCCTACACTGCGTTAAAAACACCATAAAAATAAATAGGCCATAAACAATATACTTACGCATGTTAGGGTCCTGCATGGGAATAGGAGTCATCTTATTTTGAATTCCTTGTTGCATCGTGACATCTTGATGGACGTAATGGTTCTGTATGTGTTGTTGTGGGGACGTCATCTGTAAAACAGCGCCATCTATTATCGTGTGTCAGAAGTACATTGCTCTAAGAATACGCATCATGTGGAGAATTGACGGGATTGTTGCTGATCTGTTGTTGGGGTTACCTCAGCTCAACCCCACCCTACCCCTGATTCTTCGAATACGACGAAGTACATAGATATATAATCGAAAGAGCAATGTTATTTACCGTCATCTAGTGTTAAGTTTATTGAACTAATAAATTTGACAAGAAGCAAAAATTGTATGCTTTAAAATAAAAAGACAACTCCCGCTCTAGGAATATATCCTGTCGCGGGAGACTATACAAACATACATGAAACGGACACAAAAAACACCCAGATTTAGAACAACAATTTGTGAATCACACAAAGTGTTATCCCATGTGGGGATCGAGCCCACAGCACTCAGCGAAGTAGGAAGCGGCTAGGTTACCACTACGCCATCTAAGCCGTCAAACCGGACAAGTCCGGACTAAAAGTCATTCAATAGGTTCAGTCAAGGTGTTTATATTCTGTGGTAGTGGGATATCCCACAACATTCAACGCACGGATTTGACTGCACGGATGGCGTAGTGGTTTAAGCGGTCGGTCACCTCGCCGCTTCCTACTACGCCGAGTGTTGTGGGTTCAAACCCCACATGGGACGACACTTTGTGTGATCCACAAATTGTTGTTCTGAGTCTGGGTGTTGTTTGTGTCCGTTTCATGTATGTTTGTAAAGTCCCCCGCGACACAAGAATGTATTCCTAATGCGGGAGTTGTCTTTTTTAATAATGAATGAATGAATGAATGAACGCGACATGCTTCTTCTCTTGATAAGCTCATATTTAAGCTTAGGAAGTAAGATATATTAAATTAGTTGTAAATTCTAAACTCTTACTGGAGATACCGTAGCCCTAAGCTAGTGAATTATATAGGCCAAATTATCACATCAGGTCATTAAAAAAAACCGGTCAGGTACGAGTCGAACTCGTGCGCCTAGGGTTCCGTACCTACCTAGATTTTACATAGTTTTTCGCGAATATTTGTAACTACTAAAATTTATCTTAATTTTCAACTTTTTTTTTATTTTTCAGAATTTTCTCTTTACTTGTGCTGTAAGACGTTTCTTTTTGCCAAATTTCGTGATTCTAGGTCAACGGGAACTACTATATAGGTTTTCGACCCAAAACCTATAGGGTACTTCCGGTTGACCTAGAATTGTCAATTTTGGTGAAAAGCAAGTTCTTACAGCACAAGTAAAGAGAAAATTCTGAAAAATAAAAACAGTTGAAAATTAAGGTAAATTTTGGTACTTACTAGATTTCGCGAAAATCGAAATTTGCCCATATCTTTTTATCGTGTTGACTCAGGACCTTGATTTTTATACACCTAATAGGGACCATAAACCTCAGTATCTGGTATAAATTTCAACTTTCTAGGTCTACCCGTTCCTGAGAAAATCGGTGGTGACACACGGAAAGACGGTCAGACGGACAAGAAAGTGATCATATAAGGGTTCCTTTTTTACCTTTTGAGGTACGGAACCCTAAAAACAATAGTTAAAACTGTTTTGCCTTTAAAAACGAGACCATATATTATTTACTAAACCCAGGCGAAGTCGGGACCAAGAACTAGTATTAAACAAACATACTTACTTCTTCCGGCCTATATCCCTGAGGATACTGATGATACTGGAGCTCCTGACTTTCCTTCATTCTGTTGAAATCATTTGACTGCCTCTGATTGGTCAATTCATAGTTCTTTTGAACTTCGAACGGCTTTTGATTTTCGAACGTACGTTGATTGGGTGTTTCGATAACTTCCGTCTTCTGTTCATCGGCTGTTTCGAATTCCTGATTGGTTGGTTCCTGTTGTTGAACTTGTATTGGTTCAACGGTTTGTATTGGTTGTGTGGGTTGTGGCGAGTGGGTGATTGGTGTTGTAGGTTTCGGTGATGACGGCGTGTTGGTTTCCTGCAAATAGAATGTGAACTTAAAAACTGTTTAGTAATAAGCATGCAGGTTCCAATAGTAAGTTAGTAAGTTATTGTAAATCATGAATGTTTGTCCTGGGTTGGAATCGAATTCGCGACCCCTCTGGCTTAGCAGTCAGGATCGTTAACAACTAGACCAGGCCAGGCTTTTTTGGTAAATGTTTATTTTGAGTACAATAAGAATAAAAATAAATAAATAAATGTATTTGCAATTCCGCTATTATCATTTGAGTAAAAGTGTAACAAACAAACCAACACACTATCGACTTTACAATATTAGTTAGGAATCTATATAATTAAAAATTAATAGCCATATGATAAGAGCAAAAATCGAGACCAGCTCGACCAATTCGACTAAAAAAAAATATATTTTAGACAAGGAAGGTTATTATGAAAAAAAAACGTTAAAAATGCTATGAAAATAGTAAAAACAACACTTCTTTCCCCATACAAATCACGGAGTAAATTAAAATTGTCTTTGTTATGCCTTTAGGTCAATTAGGCAGTATGGACATTAATCTATGCCTGACAAAAATAAGTTCAAAGACAAAAAAGGTTGCGTGTCATCAAATAAAATAATATTCATCATCATGATAAACTGCCTTTAATAGTCCACTGCTGGACATAGGCCTCTCATTAGAAATAAGGTTTTGGTTTGCTATACCACGCCCCCAGGCGGGTTGGTCAAATTTTCGTTCTCTTTGTTCCCTTAGTCGGCTCTTACGACACCCACGGGATAAACAGGGGTGGTGACATTCCGTATTCTTAATCCATCACCACAAGGATAATAACATTGAGGTCTGGTCGGTGCAGCTATTATTAAATATTAATTTACCTTCTCCGATGTCTTCTGTTGCTGGTGGCAGGCCTCATGTTTCCTGCTTTCACAGCAACACTTGTTGCGGCACTCTTCGGTGGGCTGGCATTCGCATTCTGCATAAAAAAAATGCAAAATGAGCATCTTGGGATCCACAGCTCCAGCTCGACTGACGCGATATCACAGTCTCATAGAAAAAAAATCTCTATTTTTATTTTTTTTTATTTATTTGGACCGCCAACAAACGATACACATTTCAACAATAATTAAAAATTATACAAAAACATGCCTAGTGCACATTCAGTTATAGGCAATCACGACTCACATAAGTAAAACTTGTACCATTCTTAAAAATAAGGCATAATAATAAAAAAGAAAATGAAAACCATTAAGTTAGGTAAAAAAAGAGAAAGTGGTTTTTTTCATCAAGAACCACATATCGCGGCCTATTCAAATCCCATATTTAGGTGAATTTCGTTGTGGGTTCCAAGACCAGTTCAATTTTTTCTGGTGTTCCACGAGTGTCATAACTCGGTGTGTTCAGCGTATGGGAGAGATTTAAAAAAGTCACACAAAAACTAGGTGTTAATAAATTCTTTTTTTGCTTTACACGAAGTAAGTGAGCCAAATGGAGACCAACACCACTCAGTCCCCGACCCTAATGCTAGAACGAAGCACTGAAAGGGCGCCAACGCACTTGTGCGTCACAAGTGTTAAGTTGCAAGTTTCCATTAGCAGCGGTGGCATCTTACCATCAGGTGACCCGTCTGCTTGTTTGCCATCTATACCTTCTTGACTTACTTGACTTAATCCCTTTGATGGGTCTGATAGCATCCACAGTAAACCTCAAATTCCATCGGTTTTAAGCTTCGAAAGTTCGAAGTACGAGTACTCATTAAGTTTAAATAGTCAATACATTTCGCTCTCATTAAAGTTAATTAACATCTCAATATAATAACCATATAACATGCATAAATACCAATATTTTCCGGTACCGGTTCTCGTGTCGGAAACATCGCAGTGTCAACGCACCGCAAAATCATTACAAATAAATAGTTTATGGCCAGAGTTTTCACAATTACATTACACCTAATCGAATAACTACTAGTGACTAAGTAAATTTATATTAAACATCGCACTGTTTGTTGGATTTTTACAACAAAAAAATAAGAAATAAAATTGGCGAGAAAATAAAAAAAAATTGAAGGTAGATTTTTTCTTTTTATTAACACTACATCAATCATTTATGTATCGGCTACTGGCAGATCGCCACACTTGACAGTCCGAATCTCAGTGTTGCCATAACATAAAATTATACGATCCATTACACGTAAAATATGTAGGAACAATTGCTTTTTGATAAGATAAAAATCGAAATGCAGAACCAAACAATTGAATTAACTAATACAAGACTTGATAATATGAAAGAAAAATTAAAACCTATTCTAGAAGAAAACAAATTTTTATTTTATTTTAAAAATATTAAAACAAAGTTGAAAACCTGGAAAAGTAGGTGGAGCTATTAGAAAGAGACAAGAGATTTGACATTTTAATACATGGTTTACTCATAGTAGAAAAAAAAGTGTCCACAGTGGATTTGATTAAGCATATTAAGAAATGTTTTTTTGGATAAATTAAATACAGGGTGTAAGGGACGTCGTAACGAATACTGATTTTCATATAATACACTATGTATTCACATATAATATATTCATACCATCAATCTGAGCCGCAAACTACAATGTAATTAATCAAATAGCCGAAGCGTGCGGGCCTTCCCCCCCCCTCGGCCGCCAACTTGTGTTAGTTTGCGTAGACTGTTTGCACAGAATACAAATGTACACTTCCCTAACACCCAGTATAAATGGTTTTACAGGGTGTAAGGGATGTCGTAACGAATACTTTCTATAGAGAAAGTAATTAAAAAATAAATAAAATACATTGTATTGGCAGGAAAAACAAAAATGAGAAACCGAGGCCTATGCCCCTTTCATTAGTTAGTGGGTTGAGTAAAACCCGAAATTATGAGAAATAAAAAGAAATCAAAGGAGGTTATATTACATAGGACTATTAAATAAGGAAGCCACTGCATCTCAAACTAATGGAAGAAAGGAAACTTTGCGAACATAAAACATGACAAACTCATAGTTAAGGAAAATTCTGTGGCTGCGGTCATAATAAAGCGAGGTAACCACCTCATCTCAAGCTGAATTACAGTCAGGCTTACAACAATCACAAAACTCATCTAACATCAACAGGATAAATGCTTTCGATAAGATGAGGAGTCAATCTCACTCTTCTTCTACAAACAGGAATTAGATACCAGGAATTGGAAACAACAAAGCAATAGAAATGAAACTCTCTTCCCAAGCCAGCTAGTTCCCGTTGAAGATAAAGACTACAACTCTTTAGCAAGCATTGAAAAAACAAACAATAAAACAACCACAAGAGACTCGATATTGGAATATTTACAGGTCGTATGTTAGATTCCCAACCAGGACAAATATTGTGATGAGCACGGTCATTTGTACTATGTCTGGATTTTATTTATCTATACTAATATTATAAAGCTGAAGAGTTTGTTTGTTTGTTTGAACGCGATAATCTCAGGAACTACTGGTCCGATTTGAAAAATTCTTTCAGGGTTAGATAGCCCATTTATCGAGGAAGGCTATAGGCTATATATCATCACGCTAAGACCAATAGGAGCGGAGCATCAATAAAGAATGTTTCAAAAACGGAGAAAATTTATTACTATTGAGAGACGCAGACGAAGTTGCGCCGGTCAGCTAGTCTATAATATGTATGTATTTAAAAATATATAAGTATGTTTATCAACAGTCTGGTTACCATAGTACAGACTCTGCCTAGTTAGAGATCAGACGGCCGTGTGTGAGATGTGTGAGGTATATTATTGTATTACAACAAAAACGATAATATCAACTGGCAGTCGGAATGAATAAATATCATCCGAGCTCGACTTCCTCACCTCAGATTTCCGGACTATATTCGCGGAAACAAGTAATGCGCTAGAAAAAAAGATAAACATTCTAAATAAAGAATGTGAAAATTTGGGACTCGAAATAAAGGAAAACAAAAAGAACGTAATGACAAACAACCACACAAACCCAATAAACCTAAATGAGAAGCCAATGGAATATGTGAACAACTATCATTCGAAGATAATAATGAAGACCAATGTCAGCTGGAAAGAGTTCTGGTCCCTGAGGGAAATCCTGAAAGGGGATTTTCCCCTTAACCTAAAGAAAAAAGTCTTAGATATCTGTGTCCTGCCTACTCTTACATACGGATACCAAACCTGGACGCATAACACCAAAATAAAAGCTATAGGGTATGTCAGAAATCAATGGAAAGGAGTATCCTCAAAATAAGAAAAATAAAAAAGTTAAAACTGCACAGATAAAATGTAAAACTAAAGTCATAGATACTTTACAGTGTGCCCTAAAACAGCAGTGGAGGTGGCAAAGAACAAAGCAAGATAGATAGAATCTCTAGAATAGATAGAATCTCTTTATTTGTACACCATTTTACAAGAAGCATGATAGTTACAAGAAAGTGTTTAGGCGGCCTTATTGCTAAGAGCAATCTCTTCCAGGCAACCTTAGGATGGATCAAAATGTTCGGGAGAGATAGTAGTAGTTGATGGTGCAATGAGTTTTTCAGGTTAATTACTAACGAATATAAAAGAGATAATAACTACATATATATAATATAAGAAATATACACACATATATATATATACAGATACATACGAGGGATGATTAATAAGTAATGATAATCGAGTATTTCTAGAACGCACAAAAACCCAAATTATTTTTTTTCTGCTTGCTTATATATCGACTACTTCAGCTTCAAAAAAATGTATAAATAGGACACCATTACCGGGAGATACATTCATTTGAATACGAACTGTCGAAGAGAAAACATCAAAATGGAGAAAAATGAAATAAGAGCTGTCATCAAGTACCTCGGCCTGAAAAAAATGTCTACCAAAGACATACACAGCGACTTAGAGGAAACATTGGGGGAGTCTGCTCCTCCATATTCCACAGTCGCACGCTGGGCAAAGGAATTTAAGCTGGGCAGAACCTCCACTGAAGATGAACATCGCGAGGGACGCCCTTCCACGTCCCTTATTGGAGAAAATGTCAAAAAAGTGGAAGATATCGTGTTGGCCGATCGAAGGGTGACCGTAAGGCATGTAGCTGAGGTCACAGGGATCTCCTATGGCAGCGTTCAAAAAATCATTGTCAACAAAATGCATATGAAAAAGGTCTCAGCGCGTTGGGTACCGAGAATGTTAACCGACGAGCAAAAAAAGAAACGAGTCGACATTTCGAGGGTGAATCTTCAAAAGTTCCAGGCCGATAAAGAATTTTTTTTGTCGCGTTTTGTGACCATGGACGAGACCTGGATCCACCACTTTGATCCCGAAACCAAACAACAATCAATGACTTGGAAACGAGCTTCCTCACCAACGCCGAAGAAATTCAAAGTGTCAAGTTCAGCGGGAAAGGTTATGGCGTCTGTTTTCTGGGATGCAGAAGGAATTATTATAGTGGAATATTTGGAAAAGGGGGCCACTATAACAGGCTCTTACTACGCAGGCCAAATAAGAAGATTGCGAGAAGCTATTAAGTCAAAAAGACGCGGTAAACTGCGCGCTGGAGTGCTGTTTCACCAAGACAACGCCCCGGCTCACAAAGCCGCAGTTGCGATGGCTGCCATTGAAGAAACGGGGTTCGAACTGCTCGAACACGTTCCCTATTCGCCAGATCTAGCTCCCAGTGACTTCTACCTCTTTCCTCGGCTCAAAGAACACCTCCGGGGCAACAAATTTGAGGACAATAGTGAAGTGATGGCCGCAGTAGAGGCATTTTGGGAGGGTCAAGACAAAGAATTTTTTTCTAAGGGAATCATGGGCTTAGAAAAAAGATACACTAAATGTATTAACTTGCAAGGAGACTATGTTGAAAAATAAAATACTTTTTTTAATCTAATAGTTCTGTTTCATATTGATTATCATTACTTATTGATCACCCCTCGTATTTATATTCATAAAAACAAATGCTTATACATACCAGCAAGATACACA